AGCTCATCCCGATGTTACACTCATCAAGAGCTTTCATTTGAGTACCCACATGAATTTTCATATATATGCATATATATGATATATATAAATATATGAAAAATTGATGTGGGTACTCAAATGAAAGGTTTCAATGAATGTAATGTCGGGGTGAGCTTATATCTTTAAAATGTCAATAGTTCTCAAGATACAAGGTCATTTCTTAATTATGTCAAATTGCACTGTACTTTCTTAACTATTGACGTTATTAAAGGTATAAGCTCATCCTGATGTTACACCCATCAAGAGCTTTTATTTGAGTAGCCACATACATTTTGATATATTTTTCATATATATACATATATGTAATATATATAAATATATGAAAAATTGATGTGGGTACTCAAATGAAAGGTCTCGATGAGTGTAACATCGGGATGAGCTTATATCTTTAAAAATGTCAATAGTTCACAAGATGCAAGCTAATTTCTTAATTATGTATCTAGCGGATAGAGCATTTTCGAATGCAGCCTAAATACTTATCATAATAAATTGACTATCGGTGAGAATGATATGAAACCTTGAAAAGGCACAAATTCAAGTCAAGACTATTACAATGACACGAAATTTCATTAAAAAAACCGATTTTATCATATGACTATCCTGTACACGAAATTTTTCAAATTTTCTTAATAATATAGATGAAAAATGCCATTTTTCTAAAATAATATTTTTGTTGAAAAAAAAATTAAAAAATAGTCAAGTTACTTCTAACTTTAATGTGAATTTTAAATTGAAAATCATACATAAACTCAATAGATCTCGAGCATTCATCAAAAAGCCAGCATCTTCAATGCTGAGTTGGGACAAATACATAACACCATTTGCCACCGGTATTTGGAGTGCTCTGGGGATAATTATTTTAGTAAGCAGCGCATCCATAACAATAATAAAATCCATAGCTGTTGTTATTCATTTAAAGAATGTTGAAAATGATAAAGCAGATTCGAAATTTTTGGATGTCGTTTTTTCTATTCTTGGAGCTTTATGCAGTCAAGGTAAAAATTCAATATAATTTGTGAGTAATAAAATATTATTATGTTGTTTATTTTTAAGGGATGGAATTATCATTATTAAATCCAATACGGATCGTACAATTTTCTATCCATGTGACAGCTGTAGTAATTTTAGCGGCCTACTCAGCAGCACTAATAAGCTCTTTAGCTGTTAAAGTATTTGTATTACCTTTTACGACCATGGAAGGATTGTTACAGGATCGTACATATCGTTTTGGTGTTTTGGATGCTTCTGCTGATTACACCTTCTTTCAGGTTTATTTCCAATTAATTAATTTATATCTTATTAATTAATTAACTTATAAAATTATTAACTTAATCTTGTATTTATATACTAGCAACCTTGCAGTCACTATGTGACTGCCGTGTGAACTATAAATAAATAAAATTTTGCTTTATTGAATGATGACTTTTGTTAAATTGCACTGTACTTTCTTAAATATTGACGTTTTCAAAGATATAAGCTCATCCCGATGTTACACTCATCAAGAGCTTTCATTTCAGTACCCACATCAAATTTTGATATATTTTTCATATATAAATATTTATAATGTATATAAATATATGAAAAATTGATGTGGGTACTCAAATGAAAGATCTCGATGAGAGTAATATCGGGGTGAGCTTATATCTTTAAAAATGTCAGTAGTTCTCAAGATACAAGGTCATTTCTTAATTATTGATATTTTTAAAGATGTAAGCTCATCCCGATGTTACACTCATCAAGAGCTTTCATTTGAGTACCCACATCAATTTTTGATATATTTTTCATATATACATATTTATAATATATATAAATATATAAAAAAATTGATGTGGGTATTCAAATGAAAGGTTTCAATAAGTGTAATATTGGGGTGAGCTTATATCTTTAAAAATGTCCGTTGTTCACAAGATACAAGATCATTTCTTAATTATTTATCTAGAGATAAAACATTTTCGAATGCAGCCTAAATAATTATCATAATAAATTGACTATCGGTGAGAATTATATGAAACCTTAAAAAGGCACAAATTCAAATCAAGACCTTTGCAATTGACGCTAAATTTCACTAAAAAAAACCGATTTTATCATATGAATATCTTGGGCACAAAATTTTTCTTATTCTCTAAATAATATAGATGTTTGGTTTCAGAATACAACAGATCCAATAATCGGAGTGTTATATGATGAAGTACTAGTGAAAGAAACAGAATTACCATCTAATTATTTAGAAGGACTATCAAAAGTATGCAGCGAAGATAAGTATGCATTCATGTCACTGGATGCTGCAGTTTCGCAATTAAAATCGTCAGTCCACTGTACTTTAGTTCCATTAGATACAATTTCACAAGCTTCTATCGGCATGGCTCTGGGACCCGATTGTCCTTTCCGGGGCATTATTAATAATAAGTAAATGAAATTCCTATAAATCTAAAAATTTTTTTTAATTATTCAAAAAATTTTTATCTTTTCAGCATACTTTTATTGAGGGACAGTGGACTTTTGAATAAATTGCTTCATTCTGATTGGGCGTTACCTGGTGACAATGTAAGAATTTTATTATTGATTCATGAAATAATCCTTCTGTACAATGAAGTTTAATATACTTTTTTTTTAGATCAAAAGTGAGTGGGCGACTGTAGAGATAAATGACGTATTACCTCTGATAGTAGTTTTAATTGTCAGTAATTTTGTAAGTGTTTTTATAATGTGCGGTGAGAAGCTGATGCAGCTCAAATTGGCGCGAAATCGCGGGAAGAAAATTTTTAAATTCGTCAAAGGTGTTAAATTATCGCCGAAAAATAAGAACACAATCAAGTGATATTTTAAATTATTGTTAATAATTTACGGTTGAATTAATGCAAATAAATGTATCATAGATTTTAACTATAAAAGTAAATTATTTTTGTTAAAAATTTATAATGAAATATTTTCTAGATTAAATATAGTTTTATAAAATATTGTGAATATAATCGATAAGATATTTTATTTTTTCATTATTATATAATAGTATTGAAAAAAAACATATTCAATTTAAGTGAATCCGGATATCTATTTTGATTTTAATATTAATGGTGCAAATGGATGTAGAAATAATAGATAACTAGCAACCTGGCAGTCACTATGTGACTTCCGTGACTTGTGGACTATAAATAAATAAAATTTTGCTTTATTAAATAATGACTTTATTATTAAATTGCACTGTACTTTTTTAAATATTGACGTTTTTGAAGATATAAGCTCATCCCGATATTACACTCATCAAGACCTTTCATTTGAGTACCCACATGCATTTTGATATATTATTCATATATACATATATATGATATATATATATAAATATATGAAAAATTGATGTGGGTACTCAAATGAAAGGTTTCGATGAGTGTAATATCGGGATGAGCTAATATCTTTAAAAATATCGATAGTTTACAAGATACAAGGTCGTTTCTTAATTATGTTAAATTGCACTGTACTTTCTTAATTATTGACGTTTTTAAAGATATAAGCTCATCCCGATGTTACACTCATCAAAAGCTTTCATTTGAATACCCACATGCATTTTGATATATTTTTCATATATACATATATATAAATATATGAAAAATTAATGTGGGTACTCAAATGAAAGGTCTTGATGAGTGTAACATCGGGATGAGCTTATATCTTTAAAAATGTCAATAGTTCACAAGATAAGGTCATTTGTTATTTATGTATCTATAGAGATAGAGCATTTTCGAATCCAGCCTGAATACTTATCATAATAAATTGACTATCGGTGAGAATGATATGAAACCTTGAAAAGGCACAAATTCAAATCAAGACCTTTGCAATGACACTAACTTTCACTAAAAAACCCGATTTTATCATATGACTATCATGAAAATATAATTATTCTTATTCTCTTAATAATATAGATAATTCAATTATTTTTATTTAATTACTAATTAATACATATAATATTTATTCAAAAATATAAAAAACTAACAACCTTCACTTATAGCAGCAATTAATTCACTCTAAAAAAAAATAGTTCTTTTCCACTTAGTTCTCCATCAGTCTTATTATCTATATTAAACTAATTATCTATCACTAAATACTCAGTAGAATAACGCTTGACGTCTGTCAATAGCTTTTCTGTTCTGGCGAGCGCGAGATTCCATTTGTTGTCGATAAACGAAAAGCGGTCGCATTAAATTAGTACCAGCAGCTGTTTCCAGATCGTCTTCAGCTTCATCTTCAAGTTCTTCTAAGTCTGATGACCGAGGCTTGCGGATAAGTTTCTCTGGTTCTGATCTTCCGTTTGACATTTGTGATAAAAGATCATTATTGGAATCAATAAGAGCTGCGGTAATCGGCGGAGCTCCTTCAGTTGATGAGCAAAACATCATTTCAATAAAAACTATCATTGAAATTATATGAACAACACTTTTTCTTGCCTGTTATGTAAGTAATATAAATTACTAATTATCAAAATCCATTAAAATATTATTATTAGGAAAATTTCTGGTTATTATTTACAAGTGGGGTCTACCCTATTTTTGGCCATATCAAGGTGAAAAATTAACATTTTTTGTTTTTTTTTTTTTTTTTTATTCTGCTCATTTTTACAGCGCATTGTATAGCTTTTTTGCCGTCAAAAGTTGGAAAAAATTTTGGCTCTCATATTTTTGGGAAAAATCTCTATTTTATCTTTTTTTGATATTATTGATATATATTTTTTTTAAAAGTACATAAATAAAACCAACAATTAAAGGAAAAAAAAGTTGAATATCACAATTCTCTAAAAAATTCATAAATTGAATTGAACTGAATTTATTGATTTATTTCAAAGCCTTCACTGGCCAAATGGCAAAAGAAAAAATATACATTATGTGAATACAATACATATTTAAATTTTTTAATTCTAACAGGATTATTAGAACTTATATATACTTAAACATTACAAAATAAGAGTAAAAGTAATACTGCTTAAATACTATTTTTGTAAGTAACAGCTTGAATGTAAAATATTGCTAATATTTAGCAACTTTTATAAATTTTTTTGAAAATTTGTTAAAATTGTAATAATCAACTTTATTTTTTTTAATTGTTCATTTTTCTATGTATTGTTCTCAAAAAAATACATCAATAAAATCAAATAGAAATTTCATTGAAAAAAATTAAAATTAAAATGGTTGATCCCACTTATAAATATTTACCAAATATCTTACCATTTTATTTTTACAGGATGATGAATATTCTCTTTAAATTCCACTGAACTCTTCAAAATTCGTCTTCGAGACACTTATAAAAATGACTGAAGTTAAAATCCAACTTCCTAGCAATTTATATCATTTATTTACGTCAATAAAAACATGTTAATTCTCGATTGACGTTCTTTAGCGATAACAAACCTAGCAAACATGAATTACTAATACACGTAAAAAATAGTAGCAAATTTGATTACTTACTTAATTATCAGTCTCCAATATTACTCAAATGTAGTATAGTAGAACGACATAAATAATGACGTTAGATCTAGTTTCAATATTTTGATTATCATGATTCAAGATTCAAGAAAAACAACAATATTGAAAAGATAAATAAAACAATTAGAGTTTATGATTTGACTAATATTTTCATGAAAAATTAGTCACAGAAAAAAAACCAGGTGAGTATTGATTATAAAAATATTTTCACAAGGATTTATTCTAGTTTCATATAAAAATTGTTCAAAATAAACTGTACAATAAAATTGTTAAACTATAAAACACATCTGGTCAATTTCATCTTGTGAATAACTCTCAGTAATTTATAATAAATCATCGCTCCATAATTTGGAAATATCTGTTGCACATCAGTATCGATGATCCCAGGAACATCAATTCCCCTGAGTTCAACCGTTAAGTCATCTACGGATTTTCTTAAAACGTCCAAGTAAGTAATCTTGCTGTTAATTAAGCAAGTATTGTTGATAACTTTAAACTCTTCTTCACAGCGAATTCTTAATTTGCCGTACTGCGGGCCATCAGCAGCCGCTCGATTTCTCGGACAAATAACGCACCCGAGACATAACAATTTAATAATGTGTTTTTTAATCTCAGATAAACAAAAATAATTCCGGCCTGTAGAACATTCGACGGCTAATTTTTTATCAATATCTTCCTGATTAATATCAATTCCCGCATTGAGAAACTCTCGAATTAATGGTAGCCATTTTTCGTTGTCACTTGAAGAAATTGGACGAGTTACAAGGCCATGTAGAGCAGTTCTTCCTTTGTCGTCCAGGCTATTGATATCAAGCTTGTCGTTAAGGTGCAGAAAAAACTTTAAAGAATCCGTCTGTACTGTATGCGTCATAAAATGAACCATCGGTTCAGTTCCCAAACAATTTTCCTTCACGCAATTTATTTCCGCTCCATAATCCAGCAGAAGTTTGATCCTGGGTAAATCTATTGACCGGACTGCTTGCATCAACGCTGACCCGCAAAATTCCGACATCGCGTTTACTTTAGCTCCCTTTTCAAGCAAAATCTTTGTCACTTCATAAGACTTTGAAATTATTAATGGAGTTGTCTTGTGAATGTCTTCGTGATGTAAATTGGCATTATGCTCGATTAATATTTCCACCATTCTAGATTTTCCATTGTAAGCTGCGTCAAATAAAATCGTTTGTTTTCCCGGAATTGAAACATCCTCGATGTCGACGCCGTGATCTATCAATTTTCGGAGTAGAATTTCATCGTCGATTTTAACAGCGAAGCGCGCAAAAGATAGTGAATATGAATACGGCCTTAAATTTACATCAGCGTTTTTTTCTAATAAGTAATCTACTAATCGTTCCTCTTTATTGTAAATTGCGGTGGATAATAATGTCGTTGTTTGTTCCTTCTTCCCGTTTAAATATGAAGATACTTTGTTCACGTCGAAATTGGTTGTTCTTACTAAAAATTCAACGTTTATATAATTTATATCCTTTATATTACGGATTGGGAATACTGGAACTGGCTTTTTGTTTTTTTTTAGCGGCATGTTTTCTTTTACGGATGATGAATTTTCTGAAGGTCAAGGCTAAAAGAAGAAATCACTTTTAGTAATAGATAATAACTTGTGATAAGTATTTAAATTTTAGAGAGTAATTTTTAGCTGTTTATTATTAATCAGTAAATTAGAGCTAGCATAAAAATTCTAATCTAGCGTACTACAATAAGAATTTTTTTTTTTTTAATTAAACTCTTGGCAAAAATCTTGTATCAATAATTTAATTAAAATTGAAATATATGAATGTTTTAGGTTGTATTGTAATTTTTTACAATCACCGTCTTAAATGTTTAAAAAATCAAGAAAATAATATTGAAGAGTTCCATTGTTTTGGATCAAGACGAAAAATTTTTAAATCAAATAAAATTTACTCAAACCGAAAAAAATTTTTTAGTCTAAGAATTTTTCTGCTCAAATCAAGAAGATTAAATTCTTCAAAATTATTTATTTGATTCAAGTTAATTTTTTTTTTCAAAAAGTTTTTCTCAAGTTAATTTTTTTTTCTTGAACTAAGAATACTATTTTGAAGAAAATTATTTTCTTGAATCAAAAGATTAAATTCTTTAAACAAGAAAATTTTCTCTTCACTCAAGAAAATTGTTTTCTTCAAAATTGTATTCTTGGTTCAAGATTTTGGCTCTTGAGTCAAGTTAATTTTTTTACCAGTGTAGAAAAAATATGTATCAAAATGCTATTTAATTATGATTTTTATTAGCTTGACTTATTTGTATAGATGACAGAATCTTTTACAGTAATTTTTATTAATTTTAAGTCTGAATAATTTAAAAATTCGCAGACGAACTTCAAAATTTTATGTCCGATCTTTTTTTAAATATAATTAACTTTTATATATATTATAATAAAATTAACAAATCTGAAATATTTAAAATTACTGTTTTTATCAATTCCGAAATTCATATTGAAAGCTCAAAGTTTCACTGAATTATTTTTATATCTTGCAAAATTTTAATATAAATTTTAGTGTGTGCAAAAATTCAACTTCCGTGATGGACCTCTCAAAATTGCAATTTTGAGTTCCGCTTTTAGCAGGAGTTGTATTTGGATATTTTCTGAGATATTTTGAGCGTAAAGGATTTATTTGATTATCATAGAATTTTTAAGCAGGAATTAACTTTTAAAATTAACAAATCTAAAATATTTAAAATTAAGATTAAAAGCTTATATTTTAACTGAATTATTTTTATGCCCTGCAAAATTTTAATACCAATTCATTAAATAATATTATATAAAATATATTGCTCACTTACTTTAAAATTATGTGAATTTTGTAAAAATTTATTTACTGTCTAAGATAAAAATGTAAATATAACACAAACACTTTGAAAATTTAAGACATCACACGTAAACTTTATTTTTCTGTCTTTAAACCTTATGTACTGTAGTCAAAATGTTTCTAAGACAATTACTGAGTTGCTGAACTGTGCTTACAATAAATAACAATATGCACATCGTAAAGGTCCCATAATGCACTGAATCCTTACAACATATCTACTTTTGAAAAGGTTGAACGTTAACGAGCAAGTCATTATAGTAAAAATCTGAAAATATCCCATTTTACTACGACCATCTTAAACTTCTTTACATTTAAAATTATACTATACAAGAAAAAATACTCAAAGAGTTTTTGAGAATTTAATATATTTTGAACGGATAATATAAAAGAAGGCGCGCAGTAGCCTATCGGATCCGGGCCTTGCTACCAAAGCATTGGACCGGGTTCGAATCCGGCGTACACCAATGAATATTGTACAATCTTATCAGTGTTGTACGCGCATATATCATTAAACTTATGACGCAGGCTTAAATACTAATTTTTTGTCGTTTTCGTGGAATGTAAAATTAATTTATAATAACTTTGATAAGAATTAAATAAAAAAATTTTTTATACAACATTTAATTGCCAATAAATATTTTAACTACCCAAAATGAATAAATTTCCTTTAAAAAAAAATTAGCAATGTAATAAGAAATTAATTTGTTAAAAATTTTATTTCTTAGCTGAAGAAATACAAATTTTTGTCACAGTAAATTTTTTGTCGAAAAAAAGTTTTCTAGATTTAGAAGAAAATAATTTTAGGTAGACAACTTGAAAATTTTCATCCAATATTGTTTTTTTCATAATCTATAAAACTGTTTTTTATCAAGAAAGTTACTGCGTGAAAAATTTTTATTTCTTCAGCTAAGAAATAAAATTATTTAAAATTTTTAAACAAATTAATTTCTTGTTACAAAAATTCCCATATTTTTCAAGATAAATTTTTTCTCTCAGAGTATTCAAACCTTGAAAATATTATTTTTTTTCGTAAATATATATTTTTGAAAAGAAATTAAAGAGAATATAAATTATTAGAATCTCTATTGAAAACTTCTTTCTATTGTTCACCTCAATGGAAAAATTGTTTTGATTATTCTCGAAGATACGCACTAATTGTCGCAAGCATATTTAATTCTTTTTACCATCTTTAATACATGTAAAATTTTTAATTTATTGGTATGAAGAAAATTGTCATCTGAAACAATACAAATTCCGTATTGAAAATAACAAAATAATTCTTTTCAATACTTGAATTCTTTTTCTAATAGAGGATTAACATTAATAGTCATTTAGGATTTCTTTCTCTAATCAGAGCAAATTATCATTAAAAATAAATTCAGTAATTTAAAATTAACAAGAAAACTCACAAGCAACCCAACCCACATTTATCTTTTCCATAAATAATTTTAATCAAAATTAAATCAGCCGACATTTGAAAATTTATTTTATTGAAAAATAATTTTTTAAAAATTAAAACAAAAATTTTCATTTTTAATTTATTAAATTTTCTAAATGTCAATTTTTTTCTTATTTTTTTTATGCAGTAATTTATTTATTAGAAAAATTATTAAATACCTGCTAAGTTAATTATGAAAATTAATGTAGCACATATTTAATAATTTTAAAAATTTTATAACAAATAATGGCAAAAAAAAATTGCCATTTATAAATCTAAAAAAATAAAAAATGCAATTTTTTAGAAATGAGTTTTTTTGTTAAATAAAATTAAAAAATTATCAAGTGACAGCTATGACATTAATCAATTTTTAAATTTTATTTAACAAAAAAATTTGTCCCAAAAACTCATTTTTTAATTTTTTTTTTTTAAATTTCTACATGTCAATTTTTTTTCTAATTTTTTCTTGCCATTGTTACGTCGTGGCTAAATTAACGTTTTTTTATTTGTCTTAAAATAATACGAATTTTTATTAATTTTAAAATATATTTTTAAGGAAGTAAAATTTACAGCAGACACTAATAATGAGAAAATTCATTAAGTGTCTCGTCTGAACTATCTAAAAAAATTCCCGTCATTAGACAGATCCAAGTTCTTTAGAGATTAAAAATCCTAAATACATAAGTAAATGGAAGTTTTATTGCCCTCTGTATTGACTAGCATTATCTACAAGGATTTTGGAAATTTTAACGTTTTAATTAAAATAAAATTCTAGAGACAAATAAAATAAAATAATTTAAGGAAGATCCGAAAATAATAATAATGTTAGTAGTAAATTTTAAAAATAATAATAACACAAATAATTTAAATAATTCCTTTAGTGAAAAACAATAATTATAACAATAGAAAATATTTAAATAATCTTAAAGAATAATAACTAATTATTGATAATAAATATTATTATCAATAAATAAATCAATAAATAAATTAGTTAATAATAAAATAAAGGACTTAATTAAATAAAGAAACTATGTATTTGTGTGTATGTAAATGTACTTGCACGTACACCAACACATAAGTATACATATAGCCTATAAGTAAGAGAGAGAGAGAGAGAGAGAGAGGCAAACCATGCCTCTGGGCCCAAAGAAGGTAGTTCAAGTGAACATCTTTAGAAAACTCGGAAGAGAGGGTAGAATCTAAGGGAAATAGATAGTTAATTGGATACTGTTTTCCCCCAAATAGTAATTTGGAAACGCCCGAAAATTCGAGTCCCAAAAGAACTTTGCATAAACTCTCTCTCGTCATCTTGACCTCGAAGTGTGCGGATCGCCCAATTAGCTAGTGACCGGGTTTCTTTCACGCAGCTAAATAGTTTTTTTTAATATTGAGTCCTCGGTTTGAGCCTCTAGTTAGAACGCACCCTCGTGCGGGAGTCTTGCCAGAAACTTCCGCCGAAGAATCGTTAGTAAAAGATCTCCAGGTTTGCGGATCGTTTCAAATATTAGTTAGTGGCCGGTATTTCTCCCACGTAAACTAAGAAGTGTAAATTAAATAACAAAAGTAGAAGCTAGCGAAATTAAATTTGTAATAGAATAAAATAAAATTATACAGTGTGAATGTGATGTGTCGACGATCAGGTATGATTAAATTAAATTTGTAACTTAAACCATGTAAATTTAAATTCTTGTCAATATACATTGTTAAAATTAAAATCTAAAAAGCACAATTAATTATATAAAAAAATACAACGAAAAGACAACAGCACCATTTTCATACTCCTTCTGGGTTCCCAGTCTAGTGGTTGAAAAATATACCAGGACTAAAATAAATTAATAATTAATTATGTCCAAAGTTTGGACGTAACACCATAATTTAATTGTTATATAATTTTTAAAATGATTAAATATATACTAAATTAATTTTCATGTGGCAGCTAACTTAAATGTCATAAATTAATTTTCATAAAGAGATTCTCTGAGTCTCTATACTACCAGGGACCTATAAGCCATTTTCGAATGAACAGATGTTCTGCAGGTATAAATTTTGTCCAAACAAGAGGGGGTAAATCATTTGGACAGAGAACTTAGTTCTTGTTAAAGTGAAATGAAAAACATAATACGTACCCACATGATGTTTTTCCACCATTATCAGTATTTTCTATTTTTTGCATCTAAACAGTGACTGCGTGTTTAACTTTTATTTAAAAACAAAAATATAATGTTACCTATTAATTAAAGTTTAAACTTTCATTATATAATTATAAGTTATATGTGTAATTTTTAGTGACTATTTATTTATTTTCTTGCATTAAGTGCCGAGTGTTCGTTAAAGCATCGCTTGTAAACAAAAACGTTATGTGAAAATTAATTAACAACTTCTTGTAATTTTAACGTTAATAATAATTAAAAAATTTCTACAAAATGAAGAGAAGGAAAGTTTCTAAAAAGACATCAACAAAAACAAAGTGTGATTTTTTATCAGCTGTTTTTCATGGAGATAAAAAAAAAGTTTTAAATTATTTAAAAAATAATTGGGACATAAACATTCGAACCGGACGAACATCTTCATTATTATACCTCGCAATAAAGCAAAAAAATTTTAGTCTTATTGAATTATTATTAAACAATGGTGCGGAAATAAACGGTGCGCTTCAAACAGTCGGTATTTTAGAAGGTTACACGGGATTACATATCGCCAGTGGGGATAATGACGAAAAACTGGTGCGTTATTTAATTTCCCGCGGCGCTGATGTCAATTTCTCGGCGCCTGACAGAGGACAGCCTATTCACGCGGCGGTATATTTTCAAAATATTAATATCGTTAGAATTCTACTCGAAAATGGCGCTGATGTAAATGCAAAATACTCTGAAAAACTCTACAAAAAATACCTAGTGGGTGAAAAATTATCCAATGACTGCTACGAAGAAGTAAACTTATTAATTCGCGGGATAATAAAAAAGAATTATGGTTTAGTAAAACTTTTGATTGAAAATGGCGCGGACTTGCGTGAGTGCCAAAAAACAGTTCTGTTGCACGCAATTGAAAGCAACAGCCAGGAAATAGTTCAATTAATAATCAATAAAGTGTCTTCGCTTTGCAAAAAAAATATCAAATTATCCGAATTTATTAACGCTACTTACCCTTCGGGAAAATATTCAGGTTATATGTGCCTGCACTTAGCTTGCAAGAATGAGAATCCATTTAGTGTCTCGCATCTGATCCAAAATGGCGGAAACGTTAACGCTATAGCGGAAGATGGCGTCCAGCCTATACACTTGGCAATTTTGTACCCTAATGTAGAAATTATAAAGATTCTTCTTGATAATGGCGCGCATATAGACGCGCTTTTTAAGACTCATTACTACCAAAATTTTCCTAAACTTTCCGAGTGGGTTCATAGTAACAACATAACTTTAATTACGCACTCAATTATCTACAAAAACGTTAATGTAGTTAAATTGTTGCTAGAATACGATGTAATTACCAAAACAAGCCATCGTTTTATCAAAAATATCATATTTTATGCCTCAGCTAGTGATAATTTGGAAATAATCGAGTTAATACTTGAAAATCTGGGTAAAATATTCGGAAAAATGAGTGAGCGTATCAAAAGCTTTGTTAATAATAAATACTCTCAAGGTTGCTACTCAGGATACACGCCTTTGCATATGGCTTGCAGAAACAAGAACTTATCTTGTGTAGAATTTTTTATACAAAATGGCGCTGATGACTTTGCACAAGCTTCAGATGGCGCTCAAGCTATTCACGTTGCGGTAATTATTCCCAAAAATGAAGAAATTATTAAATTACTGCTAGAAAACGGCGCTAATGTAAACGCCAAGTTTCAATTTAAGAATCAAAGAATCAAGAAATCAAAACCTGGAGCCATGGTATAATCATAAATGTCGAGCAGCCAAGAAAGAAGTGTGGAACAGATTGAAACATTTCCTGAAGAATAAAAATGCAGAGAATAAAAGACTACTTAATGAAAGCAGGAAAAATTATCACTGCACGAGAAAAAAAGAAGAAGAAAGCTGGAAAGAGCAAAAATGGTCACAACTAAACAACTGTAAAGACATGGCCACATGGTGGAAGGTAATAAACACCTATCGAGGAAGATCCAATAACATCGTGAGTGAGGAAATAAGTGGGAAAGATTGGACGAAACATTTCTCAACGCTGCTTAACTGCAATACAAGAGTATCTAGAGACAGACACTTGCGTACAGGATAACCAAACCATCAAAGACGAGGTATTAGATGCTGAATTCAGCATGCTAGAACTCAAGAAAATCCTTGGTACTCTAAAGAACGCCAAAGCTGCTGGAGAAGACAGTATAGCGGCAGAATTTATCAAGAATATTCCACGAGAAAGGCGACCAGAGCTCCTAAACATAATAAACCAAATTTGGACAACGGGTGATATACTGGAAGGCTGGAACACAGCAGTTATTGTCCCAATATATAAAACAGGAGACGCTAATGACCCAGCAAATTACAGAGGCATATCTCTACTAGATACTGGATATAAGATTCTAACTATGATGATGGAAAAAAGACTCAGTGCTTGGTTAGAAAATGAAGAAAAGATGAGAGAAAGCCAAGCAGGATATAGAAGAAATAGAGGCATTAGAGATCATGTCTTTGTACTCAATTCACTTATAAATTAACCAGTTGAAAAAGAAAAGTGGTAAGCTATATGTGTGCTTTGTGGACTACAAAAACGCCTTCGACAGAGTCAACAGGAAGATCTTAATGGAAAAGATACAGAAACTTGGAATATCAGGAAGGATGTACCAAATGATCGGCAAAATCTACGATAAAACACTAAACCAGGTACGAGTAGGTACAAAGCTCACAGAGAAGTTTGAATCTACAAGTGGGGTGAGACAAGGATGTGCTCTTAGAGCCATTCTTTATAATATATACACCGATGATGTCGACGACATCTGGAGTAAGCACAATATCGGCGGCACCACCATGGGGAAGAAAAGGTTCCATGTGATAAAATACGCAGATGATATGGCGATAGTTGATGACACACCAGAGGGTCTCCAAAAAATGTTAAACGCATTAGAAACATACACTTTAAAAAACGACCTGGTAGTAAACAAGAAGAAAACAGTTGTGATGATAGTAAAGAAAGGGCGCCGAGATAATGAGACCATGAAGTGGACCTATGGAGGCTGTGTATTGGAGATAGTAAGTGAGTTCAAATACCTAGGGTATTGGTTTACCTGTGGTGGAAGCTTCAGGAAACATACCAGGTGGCTAACAGGCAAAACCCAACAAGCCTTAAACACAACCTGGGGTATAATCAAGAGATCTAAACGATCAACACTAAAAGAGCGCCTCTATCTCTATAACTCGCTATCAAATGCAGGCGCTATGTATGGCGTGGAGATCTGGGGATGAGCTCCTAATGATATATACAGGAGACTTCATGCTAAAGCTCACAAGCAAGCTCTGGGAGTTTCTAAAAACACACCAGAATACTTGTGGAGCACAGAAGCCGATGTGGAAAGTTATCTATATAACACTAGAAAAAGAGCTGCGAGATATCTAGTTGATATTATGAAGATGGACGCGAAAAGATGGCCCAAGATATGTCTACGCGAAGAATGCAGAGCGATCCTCAATAAAAATCCGTCAGCATGGGGAACCAAAATGATGGAAGCCCTCACAGACATGGAATGCCAGGATATCCCAACGATGGTATGGAATAATGCAGACCAAGAAGCTATAGTTGAAAGACTAGAGACAGGACTGAAAATATATAAATATAAAAACAACTAAAGAAAATCACAAGAAAATCATGGAATCTACATTCAGCCCGATTTTCAAATTTGTGAGAACATGTGATACAGTTGAGTCCTATTGGCATGATAAAACAATTGAAGGCTGGATGAAAGAAATCTGGACCAAGATAAGATGCGGAAATTTTGAAAAGAGCAACAAAAAAAAGTTACAACAACCAGTACTGCAGAGCCTGCGAAAGCGAACCTGAAACCTTGAACCATCTCATTTCCTGCAGACAAGCTCTAAAATTATGCTCTGAAAAAATCCAGTCTGAAATTCAAACACTAACAGACGGAAAGTATGATGCGGATCTGGATGCACTTTGGAGAACGCTCCTTAGAGGCCCACCAGTAAGTGCTATCTGTATCCTCTTTAAAAAAAAATCAGCACAAAAGAAAACCAGCTGGTAGCTGAAAGAAATAACTTCTGAACGTGCAGTAAGCAGTGCAATCTAGATGACAAAGAAGACTGTGATGTTTTTTATATTCACTGAGAAAAAATGTTAGATTATAAACAAATTATTATCTCTTATTGAGTTCTTGATAATTATATGAGATTTTATATATAAACAAAAATGTAGCAAAGTTTGTAGAACAGACTGTACATCTGGTAAAAACATAATAAATATAACTGTATTGTTTTTTAAATAGATTTTATTTTAATCTAACTAATAAAAATAATTTTTAAATATACAATTATTTATCGAATTTGTCTAAATTCCATCTGAGAGCTTATTAATTAAGCTTTTATTATTTACGTAATTTTACTCTTCTGAAAATTATTTACTCAGCTGTGAGTATTATTATATGATACTAAAATTGAGAGACACATCTGATAATTTTTTTTCAACAAATAAATTATAGCAAAAAAAATTATTAAAAAATTTTCATCTTTAGAATTTCTAAGAAATTATAAATGCAATTTTTTATAATTTAGTTTATTTTTTAAGAAAAATAAAAAATAATCAAATGTCCATTTGTTTTAATCATCTTCTCAATTATTTGTAATTTTGAAAAATCTACTTACATTTCACCTTCCAAATGGATTTTTTTTATGATTAAAATAACTTATTGTATTTAATTTTAATAACTCTTAACTTAATTATTAATTACATGTATAAAAAAAATTGTTGAATAAAAACAATCAAGTTTTTTATAAAATTTAATTGTTAGAAAATGAATATTAAGCATGTAATTTTCTTAATTTGACTTGAAATTTTTTTAACGACTTTACTTTTGATTATTCCTTACAATATTAATTGAAAATAAAATTTAACAAAATAAAGAATAAGAAGAAAATTCTTTGAAGAATTAAAAAACAGTAAGTATAATCATTTTTTTTTGTTTTTAATTAAATAAAGTTAATACTTTTAATAATTTAAAAATAGGCTATTTAAATAATTATATGACCTTCATTTAAATTGTGACAGCATGAAAAATGTAAATATTATTATTTAATTAGGGTAAAAAGACCCCATCAATGACGGGGATCCCATTACTGACACTTTTTTTGATTTTAGTACTTATTCAATGAATGAAATCATTAATTTCTATTATGAAGGTATTAGTTATAATCTTTAAGACCTTGAGGTCAAAAAAATTTCTAATTTTTATTCCAACTAGAACATTTTTTCACTGAAAGAAAAAGTGCCACTAATAGGGCTTAGAGGTGCCACTAATGGGGTATTTTACCTTATTTATTTACTTATTAAAAAATTAAAAAAAAAAAAAATACAAGAGTTAAAATTAATACTGAATATTTTTTTTTTAACTCTAAATAAGAAAACTATCAAATTCTCAGGGATAATTATTATTCCGTGTCATTACTTCACCTCAAAAAAAAAAAATACTTACTCTCTTTGAACTATAAATTAATCATTATACTTAACAATTTAACATTCATCAGATAAAAAACTTATTGTTTTTTTAATTAGAATAAAATTGCAAGTGTTTTTTAATTAAGCCAGTGTCAATAACTGGGTCTTTTAAATTATTTTATAAGAGAAAAAATTAAATAAATTAATAGATTGTTATAATTTTTAAAAATAAGGTAAAAGACTCAGTTATTGACACTTGCAATTTTATTTTAATGAAAAAAAAAGGCAACTCCGATAAATTAATAAATACAATTTGTGAATTATAAATTTTTAGATAATTGTTTTTTTGAGAACATTTAATTTTTTTAATTAGGATAAAATTGCAAGTGTGAAACAATTAGGCCAGTGTCAATAACTGGGTCTTTAACTTTAATTGCTTTATAAAAGAAAAAATAAAATAAATTAATAGATTATTATAATTTTTGAAAATAGGTTGTGCGAAAAAAAAATTATTATAATTGTCGGGTCAAAATAAAAAATAACTTTTCAATAATCGCATTAATAGATACTTAATAATAATAATAATAATAAACAAAAAAAATAATGAAATAAAAAATACAAAAAATTATTAATAACAAATTTTTATTTTCTTATAAGTGATATCAAAGCCGTAATACTTAAAAACCAATATAAGATTAATTTAAGATCTAAAAATAATTCTAAAATAATAACATTAATTCTAATTACGACATAGATGACTAAATATCAAATTTTATTTTAATATCACTTTGCCATTAGCATTTTACACCAGTGTTTATGACAATTTTTATAACCTAAAAACTTCTACTTTAAATTTTTTTGAACTTGTTGTAATACCAGATTCAACAATTATTAATTAACTAATTAAATATAAGTTAGCTCGTTAAATTTACCATGAATTAATAATTATTTATCCAAAAGTTCACTCTATAATAATTTAAATCTTTTGCACTTTTGAACCAATAATAACTGGATTTTTTTTGGTAATTTCCTCAGCGGCCATCTTCTTGTAATCAAAATTGCACTTGTGCATGTCACTGTATCGATGAAGACTACAAAAAACACCTCCACAGCGGCAATCAAATCCAGTTAGACCAAGCTTCTTGCGACAGGTGAAGCAGCGATTCCTCTTCTTTGGTTTTTCACCATCCGAAGTTCCAACTTCACGGTCTACGGCTTCCATCGGCGTGACGTCATCAGTTATTTTCTCGCCAGCTGATCCTAATGGTCCTTTAGTTGACTCGGCATTTGAACACGTGGCTCCTGGAGCTGCAGCTGACTTTGGTAATGCTGCTGCTAGCGCAGAAGCTAGTTGTTGTTTCAGGATCACGTTTTTGTAGCACACCGAGCAATGTCCTTCGGTGGCTGGTGATCCGAAAAATCCACATCCGCTCAAACAAAATTCTTCGACTGGTTCCATTGTTTTTTGTTGATACTAGTGATATGTGAAAAACACTTGAAGTTGGTTTTAAAATATGTGAATGATATTTATTTATTTTTATGGGTAAATCCTTTAAAATATATATTTTAAAGGAGAGCCGGTGATGTGTCTAAGGCAAGGTTTGAACGATTACTGACTGCTGACTGATGAAAGAATGACTAATGATCAAGGGTTTTTATTTCTAAGGGCTGGACTGTTAAAATATTACTTGGAAAAATTTTGGGTATAGTCTATCTATATAATTCAGAATTTACTATAGTGTACTTGGAAAAATTTGTTGGAAAGTCGGTGGAGAATTGAACAATTAATTTTAATTTTTTTTCTGGACTACAGATGTCGCTTTGTGTTTTAAAATAACCAAAATGTTGAGTGATAATAAATCTAGAAGATATTTAATAATTTTTAGAATTTTTTTCAACAAATAAATTATGGCAAAAAAAAATATGATACTAAAGTTAGCCGACGTGTTTAATTATTTGATTTTTTTTTAATAATTAAATTAAAACGAAAAAATATTTTTAAAAAATTTCACTTATAGTTTTTGAAGTTTTTTACTAGTGACATTTTTTTTTTTAATTTTTTTGTAATAATTTTTTCAATAAAAAAAAATTCTAAAAACTTTTAATTGTCGGCTAACTTAATTTTCATTAAAAAAATACAAGTAAATTGACATGTGGAAATTTTAATAAATTAAAAATGCAATTTTTTGAAAATAATTTCTTGGAACAAATTTTTTTGTTAAAAAATTCTCTCGTGATTACTAACTTTAATTTAATGTCATAAATGTTATTTATAAATTATGATACTATTGAAAATTAATATGAAAATTAATTTAGCAGAATTTTAATAATTTTTGAATTTTTTTTTATTGAGAATATTAATACAAAAAAATCAAAAAAAAAATTTTATGTATAAACAACTTGAAAAACTGTAAACACAATTTTTAAAAAATATTTTTTTTTTTACTCATTTAATTATTGAAAAAAATTTTAATTGTCGGCTAACTTTAGTATTATAAATAAATTATGGCGAAAAATAAAATTAGAAAATAAAATTGGCATGAAGAAATTTTTAAAAATTAAAATCAAATTTTTTTGTGAAATAATTTTTTGGAAAAAATTAATTTGTTAAAAAAAAATTAGAAAATGGTCACGTGACTACTAACTTTAATGTCATAAAATTAATTTAGGAGAATTTTTTTAACAAATAAATTATGGCAAATAATGAGAACAAAAAAAATTGACGTAAAAATAAAAAAAAAAATGAAAAATGCAATTTTTTTAAAATAATTTCTCTGTACAAATTTGTTTGTTAAAAAAAAATTAAAAATGGTCAAGTGTCTACTAATTTTTAAGTCACGAAAATATCCGATCAGATACAAAGTAAAAAATTATTATAAAAATGAAGAACTGTTTTAAAAATTATGGATGATCTAAAAAATAATTTATTTATTAGATAAGCTCAAAAAACAGTCAAATATGTAATTATAGTATCATGATAGTGAAATTAATAGACATCTGTCAATCTTTTTTTGGATTTTTATAACAAAACTCAATTAGAATAAAAAAATTTCTACTAATAATTTTTTTAATTTTCACAAGAATTTTTTTATTAAATTTTTTTCATTATAATTATCATTGTTGTAAAATTTTTTTTTTTATTCTTAATTTGTTTAAAGTCGCATAAACTACTAAGGTCATGAGCGACTATTATAGGGGGTAAACTTTTTGAGATTGGAACTCGTTTTATTTCTTGGGCTGAGCAGAATAATATACACTTAAATATTGAAAATATTCATTGGTGTACGCCGGACTCGAACCCGGTCCAATGCTTTGGTAAGCAAGGGCCGGATCCGATAGGCTACTGCGCGCCGTTGTAAAATTATAAAAAAAATTCCTAACTATGTCAACTCCAGTGTCATAAATTATTATAAAAAAATTTGACATGTTCATCTCATCCAATTGTTAAAATACTGTCGAAAAATAAAAATAAAAACTTTCATATCTAGAAATTTAAAAACTTACAAGTGCAAATTTAAAAAAAAATTTTTTTTTTATAATCGTTTAGTAAAAAAAATTTCAAAAATTTTTAGAAGTCTACTGATTTCAATATCATTAAATAAAACACTCAATTAAAATTATTTCAACTTTTTTGAGCGTAAAACTAATAAAAATTAGTCTTCAATCGTTAAACTAAATCGTTCCATTAATTGATAGTTTTTAAAATTATAATCAAAATAAAATTTATTGTGTAGACACAAATTAAAATATTTATTTTCGAAAAGCCTTTAATTTTAATATTAAATTTATTAATTGAATAAAAAATTTTTTTAAAATAATAAATTGCATAATAATCATAGTAAAATACAACATGCAAGCCTACATTTCAATAACAAATTTATATACTTCATAACGTAAGTACAGTTATTAATTAACACATCACATCTGTTTATTCTATCTTCATACATGCTTACAAAATTCACACATGTATACATATAAATTCATATATCACCTAGAAAATAATATCAACTATTAAAGTACAATACAAGTATACTTTATTACACAATCGGCTATTAATAACTTCTCAAGTACATTTTAATAAAAAAGAAGATAAATTAATTAATAAATAAATACAATGGAAAAAATATAATTGCAAAAAGATTAATAATTATAATTAATAAATTATTTCCCAGGGAACACTGGATAGATCTTAATCCTCGGAGCTTCATACCGGCGCTTGATATTATCACCTCTGTATTTTTTATGAATATTCTTAGAACTGATACGTCTGGACGGCCAATAATTAGAACTGTGTCCATAATAGGGCTGGTAATTGCCCCGAAGGTCTCGAGACAGCCTAGCTAGCACAATGTTTGGATCCAAGAGCACATCTTGGGAAATTAGATCTTCCGGAAGTTTCGGCTCTTCTGGAGGCTTCACTGTAGTATTTAAATTTATTTTTTGATCTTCGCTGGATTTATTACTAACAGATTCCAGCGAAGTGTCGTAATTAGCAAAATTATCTGCTACAGATACAGTTGAATTAAAATTAACAACTGTAGATGAAGAAATTGCTTCTTCAGTAACAATATCTTCACTTTTACAGATACTTCCGATAACACAAAGAAGAAATAAAAAAATTTTAATAAAATTTCCACAAAAAATAAACATTTTAAGTATTTAATTTAATAATACTTAATTACGGTAAAAATATTTAAGATGCGTTAACTTTGAAACAACTTTTGCAAATGCGGGAGAAGTTTAGTTCCAAGACTAGTCATTTATATACTCGGGAGTAAAAAATAAGAAAATATGTTAGTGTTTCCGCAAATACGCTGTTAATTATGTGCTAAGTGCCTTAAAAAAAAGATCCTACATGAGATCGTTCCTCCTGGTTGCACCGTTGTACGCAATAAATTCTTTTAAATTATGAGAGGAGAGCCGTGACCTTGTCAGCTTCCATTGAGTATTTTTTAACGAACCGCTGTTAATTTTAGTGTTAATTAATTATTTCTAGTAGGTTGTCACTATGATGGTGTATAAAATGATTGAATTCACGAGGATTGCAACAGATAAGGGTCTTTCACGCGACTGTCAAGATGGCTAAGGTAATAAAAGTGTGAAAAATATTCAAATTTTAATTGAAAATATCCGGCGGAGCTGGATGCTACCGTGGGATTTTGTCTTGAGGATTAACTTTTAATAATAAATAATTGCAGATAAATAATTACACCTGTGCTGTGGCGAGCTGGCTTGTTTTTGTTTTTGTTATAAACTCTAAAGCATACGCTGATTTGTCATCGTCATTGAGTACTACTGAAACTCCCACGACTTCTCATTCAAGCGCTTTCTTAGATTCTGCTGAAAAGGTAGTTTATTATTTATCTTTTGTACACAGAAAAAAAGGTTCACTTGAGCCAAGATAATATTTTTCTTCTTAATTATTTTCTTGAGCGAAAAAAAATTTTTTTTCGACGAGAAATTTCACTTATTCCAACAAAATTAACTAATACTCTTGCTTTAAGAAATACGTATCTTGATCCAAGAAAATTTATTTAAGTCAAGAAAATCTTGTTGTTTTGAAAAAATTCAGCCTCTTGCTCCAAAAAATTTAGTTCTTGATAGAAGTAAATTTTCTTGTCTTGAGAAAATTTCTCTCTTGCTCCAAAAAATTAAATATAAAGATAGAAGTAAATTTTCATTAATATTTTTATTGATTAACATGTCAAATGGGAAGATCAAATAATATTGAATCATTTTTTTTTTTTTCATTCAATATGTATAATTGCACGCTAAAATAATATAAAATGGGTATCAAATATTCAAGAGAAAAATTTTCTCAAGGTGAGAAAATTTTTTTCTCAGCTGAAGTAGGTGGCACTGCTTCCCTAAAGTATCTAAAAATCTTGATCAAATATAAAAATTTATTGTATCAAGTATTTATGATAATTTGAATTAAGAAAAAATTACTTTCATCAAGAATAGAATTTCTCGAAAAATTTTTACTTCGGCCAACAAAACTTCGGTCTTCCTTCAGGCACCCGAAAATTTTCTTGAGCCAAGAATTTTGTTCTCCAGTCAAGAAACTTTTCTTTCTGCGTATACTTAATCTGATGAATTTTTTTAAGGATATTAATTAACTTTTTTAAGTTTTTAAAACAATTGTGAATGAAAAAATTATTTTTTCTAGGACTCTTCTTCTTCTTCAGAAGAAAACGATCCATCGACAACTTCACCACCCATTGTACTCCAACCCAACATCACCGGCGCCCTAGATGTTGGTCAAGGTCTTCTAGTACCTCTGGTACCAGTAGTAGATCCTACAAGCAACACAACTGCATCCAGTCCTTTGGTTGCTAGTCTTCTACCAGTAGCCGTCGAATCAGTTCCTCCTACATCAACACCAGCAGACTCCGATGAATCCAATGAATTCGATGAATCCAACTCCAGCTCCGCTGAGGTAAATTAGTTAAGAACCTAAGAAATCCTGAACCTAAATCTAGAACCTAAAAACCCTCGAAGATTATCTAAAATAAATTAAATTATTATTATTATTGATATTTATATTATTATAAAATTATATTAATGTATGACTAATGTAAAAATTGAATAAAATGTTAAATGTCTTTATTGACATTAACAGATAAAAGATGACATGGATGTTGCTGAAGACATTATCTTTAGACCACTATTTAGGTATCGTCAAGAAGTTGCTGATCGTCAACAAAGTAGAAAATATTATCAGCCGTATTTATACGCTTACCGCAAGCCAAATTATTATAATTACGACTCCGATTAATTTGTACTAGCAATCTTGCAGTCACTATGTGACTGCCGTGGCTTGTGAATTGTAAATAAATAAAATTATGCTTCATTAAATAATGACTTTTGTTAAATTGCACTATACTTTCTTAAATATTGACGTTTTTAAAGATATAAGCTCATTCCGATCTTACACTCATCAAGAGCTTTCATTTGAGTACCCACATGCATTTTTATATATTTTTCATATATTACATATATGTATATATGAAAAATATATAAAAATGCATGTGGGTACTCAAATAAAAGCTCTTGATGAGT